GTAGTCCTATGAGCACTGACTAAGAGGAAGCAGTAGCTAGAAACCTTTCCACAAAAATATTGCAGGCTCAGGTGTGACACCCAACCTTCAAGCAATTAGTGTCTGATTCTGTACGTTTTCAAAAGTAGACAAGCGGCCCTCTCTGGTTCATTCTGGGACAGGAGCCTGTGTCAGTGATGGACACGGACGGTGTTGAGAAGGGAGATTTGCAGGATGTCATCTACCTAGAGACTCCGGAGAAATCTCTAGATTATTGGAAATAATGAGGGTTGAGCATAATGGCTCAATATAACTTAAACAAAAATCCTGTGTATACATGTCAACAGACATGACAATAACTGAAAATGTGGTAGGTACAGTAGATTTTAAAATGTTAAAATTTAAGGACATTTTCAATCCCGTTGACTATTTCTGTGGTTTCCTGGTAATCTTACTATTTTCTTTAAAAAATTTTCCCAGTAAATAATGTTCCCTAAACTAAAACAGGAAGATCCCCAGCAACTTACAAAGAACCTAATGAAAATTGAAACGGAAGATGTGCAAGACTTCGCGGTGCTAAATATAAAACCATAGATGGAAGTGTTTGAAGGTGGCCACTTGCTCTGTACCAGGCACCGTTTTAACGCTTATGTGGCTCGTGTGACCTACGGCCCGATTCCAGAGCCTCAGAGCCTCACTTCATACCAGCAAGGCCACTGGCCTTTGTTTCTCTGATGAACTTTTGGTGTTTTTCCTGGGTAGTTTATAGCTGATGTAAAACTTTATCTCTCGTGTCGTTCACTGCGGACAAAAGCCTTCGTTAAACATGGGATGAGTTTATGATGGAAAAAAAGGCTCACTTAGGGCCAGAGCAGAGCCTGGCACAGAGAAGGCATTCGGTACGTGTTCATTTAGTGTCTGAATGGTGACATTGTTCATCCTTCGTTGGAAGTAATTCCACGGGGAAGAGAGCGAGTGGTGACCCGTGAGAGGCCCCATGGGTGATGTCCGGGGCCCAACCCGAGCCCCTCTGCTCTGTGCTCCTGGACCGCAGGTCCACTGAGGCCGTGGTGGGGACAGATGAGGACCACGTGTCTGGGGATGGCCCTCCCGCTGTCCCAGTGGCCTCCCACCCCGTGTCCTTCCACTCTTCATCTCCACCCGCTGCCCATGCCTTGGCCTCCGGTGTGTGCTCTACCTGAACCACTGCCCGGAGAGAGACATGCACGGCCGGCGCTGGGCGGAGGCCAGGGTGTCAGCAGCAGTGGTCGCTGTGCAGCAGAGCTGGCCCTGGGCCCCTGGTGCAGGTGGCGTCTGCAGCACGAGGCTGTTCCCTCTCAGGCTGACGTGGGTCCTGAGCAGCAGCAGGTCCAGGGAAGGAAGTACCCGGCAAGTGTCTGCATTTCCATGGCCAGGCTCCGCCCTGGGCCTCGCGTCCTGGCTAGTCCTTCATCCCCACGGCCCCGCTGTGTGTGGGACTCTCCTCATTCCTTTTTTCCACCTAAAGAAACTGAGGCCCGAGCTTGCAGAGAGGAGCTGGGATTTACAGCCGGGCAGTGGTCTCTGCGGCCACGGCCTCACCTGCCCCCGCTGCTGTGCGCTGAGTGGACGTCCTTGCAGACACTTTCTAATTTCTAATTTCAGTTATTGAGTTCTTCATCTCTGGCCGGTTCATTTTTTATTGTCTATTTCTTTTCTGAGAGTCGGAGTCCTCCATTCCTTTTTCAAGGCCAGTGAGTATCTTTACAATCACTGCTCAGTATTCCTTAGCAGGCATATGGCTCATCTCCATTTCATTAAGCTCTTTTGCTGTGAATTTATCCTGTTTTTTCATTTGGGACATATTTCTCGTCTCACTGTGTCTCACCCTCTGTATCTGTTTTCATTTGGCAGGAGAGTCAGGTATGTCTTCTCATTTTGAAAATAGTAGTCTCGTGAAGATGTCCTGTGCTGCTCTGTTGGAGACACTGTACAGGGTCCCCCGTTCACCAGAACCCGGCACGTCAGGTGTCTCCTATGTTGTGTGCGTCCCACTGTTGTGCTCGAACCATGCTTGCCTTCCAGGCACCTGCAGGGGCCCTCTGCCTGTGTGGGCAGGGTTTGGTCCCTTTGCTGTAAGGGGCCAGTCTTGGCTGCCTTGAGCCAGACCAGATGCCTCCTCTTAGCCTATTTGTGGGGCTGCTCTCACACCGTACTGCACGGTGCTCTCCTTGTGCTGGCCCAACAGGGCTTTCTTTGGAGGTGGGGCCTCCAGTCCGACCAGGTATCTGCCCCCACTTGACTGTTGAGGGTGGAGTAACTGAAGTCCAGGGCTGTCTCTTTTTGCTGCCCCCTGTGAGGCTTTTGTTGATGGGTGGGCCGGCAGTCAGACCAGAGATGTCTGCCCCCAGCCCCCTGCTTGGGCTGCAGTTGAACCAATATGTGGGTTATCTTCCCCCTCTCCATGGCAGGTGTCACTTTGGTGTGCTGCTGCTCACTGTAGGGTTGCTTGCAGAATGAGATGAGGAAGGCAGTGCTTTGGACAGACTCCTGCCCAGTGGGCAAGTTGGATAGATCTGTGGGATAATGTGGTGGGGGGGCCCCAGGCATTAGACCAGGATGGGAACTGGAGCCACTTCAGAGGGATGCCTACACAGTGGGACAGGCTGGGTGGAATGAGTCTGAAGGAGGACGTGGGGGTGGGGTGTCCTGTTAGCAAAGCTAGGTGGCTGGTGTAGGTGCTGCTTACTGTCAAAAAGCACTGGTAAGGAAAAAATAAAGCAGATCTCCTGAAGGTTAACATTTCTTATCTGGTGCACTGGTAAGGGGAGCCATGGACTCAGGGTCAATAGGTTCAGAACATACACCTGAAAGTAACTGTCCCTATAATATGTAAAGAACTAATATAAATCAGTAACAAAGAGGCAGCTCAAAAGATGGACAAAAACTTTTGACAGGTACTTCATGACAGATGCCATACTCATGTCCACGGAGGGTGCTCAGCTTCAGCCATCGGGTGAATGCAAACCTAAATCCCCAAGGAGATTCCACTTCACAACCACGATGGTGTCTGCTGTGGAAAAGATCGAGCGTACCAAGTGTTGATAAAGATGGGTCAGGCCTGGAATCCCATACATGGCTGGTGGAAATGTGAACTACCATAACCACTTGGCGAGCGGTTGGGTGATTTCTTTAAAATTCGAGCCTGGACTTACCACATGGCCCTGGAATTACATGTTTAGCTATTTAGCAAAAAGGAATGAAAATGTCCACATAAATACGTGGACATGTACGTGAGTCCTCGCTGCCGGTGCTTTGTAGTAGCCCAGAACTGGACATGACATACACATCCATCAACTGGAGGAATAATGACCGAATTACGATGTGTTCATATGTTGTATTAATTCTCATCGGTCAAACCCATGAGGTACTGAACCCAACCGCGCAGCCACACGAATGTGTATATCCGGCAAGTAGCGCTGGTACATAGAATTCTAAGGTCATAATCTGTGTGAGCCTATTTGTGTGGAGGTCAAGAACCAAGCTGGTTATCTGGGGTGGGAATTGATTCGAAGAACACACGGGGGAACTTTGGGTTGATATGTCCTTTGTCTTGGTTGCAGCAATGGTTCTATAGATGGATTTCCAAGTATTAAAATTTGTCAAACGTCCTTAAGGTCGGAGCGTTCCACTGCATGTGTATTTTCCACTCTCTCCCCCGCACCTGTAAATGAATACTGACCTCCACTTAATAGCTTTTCTTTTTACCGTGTCTTTTCACACTTTCAAAAGAAGAGACACCGGCTGCAGTGGCCTGTGGGGGTGGTTGGGTGGCCTCTGTTCTGAAATGCTAAGCCGTTGGCGTGTTCGTAGGAACAGCTAGATCGTGGTGTGCTTGGTGGTAAAGGGTGTGGACTCTGGGGGCGGTGTTCACACCTAGCAACACCACTCACCACGGTAGTAAGTGGGGGGGCTTCATACCTCTGCTTCCTCGTTGTGAAGTACTTGGAGCCCCGCCTCCGTGGGACCGAATGGGAGATGGTGCGGCCGTATCGAGCCTGCCTGCTGCCTCTTGCCTGTCCCTTGCTTCCGCGGCCTTCTTCCCAGCAGCCAGATGGTCCCCACTCACGGGCTCCAGTCCTGGCAGCCCCGCTTCAAATCCCCAGCACTTCCCTGTCAGACTTCACTGGGGCCAGCTCCCTGCCCGGCCTCTGCAGCCCTCGTGCACGTCCTTGTGGCACGTCCTTCCCCAGTCTCTGTCCCCTGCCGGCACCTGCCCGGTCGCCCTCCACACCTGGGAGCTGCGTGCTCTCCATGTCCTGGAAACTCTTGCCAGAAGGGCCATTTGTTCTCGGTAGTCAGACTTCACAGAGTAGTACCCGCCCGGCCTCCCCGTTGCGTGGGCAGCCTGCGATCCTGTTTCGATGCCTGCCCTGTACCGTACCCATTAGCAAGTCGGCTGCACGAGACACAGCCCTTGTCCGCCTGGTTTGCACCGTACCCCCGGCCCTGAGGAGGCTTTTACAAAGTCGGTGTCCAGTAAATATTTGTGGGGTGAATACAGTGGGTTAGTATACTCAAAAGGCCAAACATAGTGACCAGCCCCGGAGGCCCTGGTGAGTATCGGTGGGGATTACTGCCACAGCCTGGAAGTGCCCGAGCCCCCTCAACAGAACACCGAAACGAGTCACGAGGCTTGAGGGGTGTGACCTCTGAGGAAAAACCCACACAGGTCAAGGCCCGCTGGCCTAAGAATAGTCACGCGGCACTTTGCAGCCAGCATGTGATTATTTATACAGATTCTAAGGTTAAAAAAAAAAATTGAAAGTCTAAATGAATTTGAATGTCATTTCCCTGTAGCTTTTAAGCCCGCGGTCTATGCTTCTTTTCCTTCCTTCCCCACCCATCTGTTGGTGACAGTTTCCGTAGGAGGATAAGCTGTTACAAGGACCAGACAGAAAGGAGAAAAAAAAAAAAAAAGAACACAAGGCCTTTGGGATGTTCCTGAACAATGGGGTGATTGAGCTCTCTTTCTGTTTCAGACGTCCACACAGAGGCTGTGCAGGCAGCGCTGGCTAAACATAAAGAAAGGAAGATGGCGGTGCCTATGCCTTCCAAACGCAGGTCCTTGGTTGTGCAGACCTCGATGGATGCCTACACACCTCCAGGTGAGCAGCGGGCCCACTGTCTGCTTCGTAAAGATTAATTCACCGCCTGCCCAGGCAACCCCGGTCTCTACAGCTTTCAAACTAATGGTGCTGTGAGTCAGATTCTGTGAACCAGAAGTCCAGCATGTACGCTCTGCATTAAAGGTGGACGGAAAATTAACATTACATGTGTGTTGACACAAAAATATATTTTAATCTTCTCATTGAGATTCATAAATGATGCAGCCTTTAAGTTCTCACAAAAGTTTACTTAATTCTTCACGTAGCAAAAGGGAAGAGTTTCTGCCTCCATAATTGTAACTGAAGTTGGACTTGTCTTCTGCCTAGATTGGGGTGTGCAGATTCTCAAGTCCTTCGAATGTAACTATGTCATGGGATTGTATTAAGAAACCAAATGAATTGAACAGTTTATGCAGTGACCTCACTTTGGGGTCCTCATACTTTTCCTGTAACGTGGGTAGTATTTTGGTCTGTGGACAAAGTAGCATCTGTCACAGCTGCTTATTCTGTGGTGGTTGAAAGCAGGCAGTGAGTGGCTGTGTGCTAATAAAACTTTATTTACAAAGACCAGCAGAGGGCCGATTTGGTCCACAGGCCTGTCGACAGCCTCAATCTAAACGACTGAAGGTAATAGTCTATTTATATTTTTGCTTTTATTTAACCTTTTTTTTTTTTGCTTTTATTTAACCTTGAATTTTATTTACCTACCTAAGTTCTCTGCTTTACTCTACCCAAATAATGATGATCATTGTTTTTTTATGATCTTCAAAACCCAAGTAAAGCACAAAGTTAAATTATCCAGGTACCTTTAGAAAACATGAAGGATCAGGCCTAAATTATTTAGTGTTTTTCCTGTGAATTGGGTTCCAACATTATTTATGCTGTTGTGACCACTCTGCCTTTCTCTGGACCTAAGTTACCTGCCGTGGTAAGAACAAATGAACGTATACGACACTTTTTTTTTTTTTTTTTTAGTATTTTGAGGTTTAGTCCTGAGTGTGTGCGAGCAGTGAGAGTACGAGAACCTCATGCTTCAACTCCGAGATGCGCACAACACAGTGATTCAGCAATTACACACATCACTCAGTGCCCTGCGTGGTATGTGTGGTCACTGGTCAGCAGACGCAGCTGGGGCAGTGCTGCCCACTGTGCTCCCCATGCTACACTGTGCATCCTTGGACCTGTTTCATAGCTGGAAGTTTGTACTGCTCAGTCCTCCTCACCTGCTCTGTCCCCCACCAGCCTCCCCTCTGGTCACCACCAGTTTGTCCTCCATATTTGAGTCTCTTTCTGGTTTCTGTTTATTCATGTGTTTTGTTTTCTAGATTCCATATGTGAGTGAAAACATACACTTTTTGTCTTTCTCTGACTTATTTCACTCTGCATAATGACCTCAGGGTCCCTCCACATCATTGCAAATGGCAAGATTTCTTTCTTTCTATGGCTAATATTCCATTGTATGTGTTTACCATCTCTTCTTTATCCATCTATTTGTCCAAGGACATTGGGGCTGCTCCCATATCTTGCTTATTGTAAATAATGCTACAAAAAGTATAGGGGTGCATCTTTTTGAATTAGTGTTTTCATTTTATTCTGATAAATAACTAGAAGCAGGATTGCTAGATCGTAGGTTAGCTCTATTTTTAACTTTTTGAGGAACCTCCATACTGTTTTCCAGAAGGGATGCACCAGTTTGCATTCACCAACAGTATGTGAGGGTTCATTCCCCTTTCTCTGCATCCACACCAACATTTGTTATTTATTTTTGATACTCCTCATTCTGAGATGTGAGTTGATAGCTGATTTTGATTTGTATTTGCCTGATGATGAGTGAAGTTAAGTATCTTCTTACGTGTCTGTTGGCCGTCTGGGTGTCTTCTCTGGAAAATGTGTAATCAGGTCCTCTGCCCATTTTTTTAATCAGTTTAGATTTTTTTATTTTTTAAATGTTTTTGGTCTCGAGTTGTACAAGTTCTTTATACATTTTTTTTAAAGATTTTATTTATTTATTCATGGGAGACAGAGAGAGAGAGAGAGAGAGAGAGGCTGAGACACAGGCAGAGGGAGAAGCGGGCCTCGTGCAAGGAGCCCGATGTGGGGCTCGATCCCAGGAGTCCAGGATCACACCTTGGGCTGAAGGTGGTGCTAAACCGCTGAGCCACCCAGGGAGCCCCTCTTTATACATTTTGGATACTAACCTGCTTATTAGATACATGATTCTCAAATGTCTTCTTCCATCCAGTGGGTTACCTTTTTGTTTTGTTGATGGATCTTCCACTGTGCAAAGCTTTCAGTTTGACAGTCATGTGTTGTGCTTCCCTTGTGTGAGGAGACTGGTCCAAAAAATATTGCTAAGGCCTGTATCCAAGTGTCTACTGGCTGCTTTTTTGGACTTTTATGGCTTCAGTGTCATTTTTAGATCTGTAATCCATTTTGAGTTTATTTTTGTGTGTGATGTATGCATTCTTCTGCATGTGGCTGTCCAGTTTTCCCAACACCATTTGTGGAAGAGACTTTTTGCCATTGCATAATCTTGCTTCATTTATCATAGATTAATTGGACCATATAACCAGGGGTTTATATCTGTACTGTCTACTGTTAATGTGGTGAAAAGTTTTATTTTCTATGTTTTTGTAACAAACAGAATGGACTTACAAAGATAACAAACCCACTTAAACCAAGTGTTTGGAACTAGACACCATTCAAGGAGATAGTCATTTTTCTGAGCTACCTTTTTTTATGAAAAATGATGAGTTTAAAATGCATTTCATTGCAGGAAGCAATGAAATTATTCATGTATGTGCTTTTTCACATGTTGAATCCATCCTCAGAGATGTTATTTTGTTTTTTGTTTCATGATGAAACACAAAACTGTAGAAAATCAAACAATGTATAGATATCTTTGCAAAATATAAAAGAACATTATTGGAAATGCTATTTTTGATTAAATGTTTGCATTTTATTATTTGATTATAAATCAAATCTTGTATGCCATATAATACACTTTGTACACCGTCATGCAAGAGTCCTGGTGGTAATATCATATGGGATAGTTTTGTACAATCAAATGCCAGCACCATCATCATAAAAATTTTTATTCACAACCTATTTTGTGTGTAGTAGTTGTTTACATATTTATAACCATACTTGTTTGAATGAAATCTTAGGGCTAAGCTTCATTGTCTCTCATTCTGTTTTTCTTGGTTGTTGATAACATTTGTTGGAATTCATCTCGTGTCCACAGCTCTTCAGAGCATATTCCTAAAGTATTTACTTTCTGTGTGAAATGACTAGTCACTGACGAGTATCAGAGTCTCTGGAAAAGATCTACTTAGGATTGTTACACTGTCACTCTTTTATAGGAGAAGCTTTCCTTTAGTTTTTACATACAAAAATATAAAAAGGATTTGCCAAGCACTTCTGCTTCTAACCATAGTGGAATAACTGGCACTAGACTAACCCATGCACTTATAAGCAACTATAAAACTGTCCCAAACAAATGGAACAGCTGTTTTAGGCCGTGGACCTCCAGCGGTGACAGACTAACCTGACATGACAGCAGGACAACTTATGAGGTGAGCCCCGTAGTTCCCAGTTTTCTGCCTGGAATAAATGTTTAGACCATGGCCTAGGGATTGAGATCTGAGTGAGGCTGGTCATTCTGCTCCGTTGCAGAGGCAGAGATCTGAGTTCAGGCAGATGAAAGGTGTAGAACTTTCCACAGATCCACACTAGCAAAGAATAACTCCAAGTCTGTTGGCGTCAAGATGATCAACCAGTAATTGAACTGCTTGCTAAAATAAGAAGCACACAGATTTAGAGGAGGGTTATAGAAACCACATGCCATCCACAATGCCTACTACTCTGTAAACAATAACTAGATATGAAGAGATGCAGGAAATACAGTCTGGGGCCACAGAAAAAGGAGTTAATGTAAAATGAACATAAGATGGTCTCCATTGTGCTCCACTAACCCCATGTGGCTGGCCTCAACTGAATTTGCTTTAAGTGTGACATTCACACCAGATTTTGAAGAGTTCATATGAAAAAAAAATCACAGGAAGGTTATTTCATTTTCATATTTATTATTTACTGAAACAATAATATTTTTAATATTTTGAGTTAATTAGTATTTTTAAAATTAATTGTATCTATTCATATATTATTTAACGTGGCTACTAGAAAGTTGAAAACTATAAGACTCATATTTCTGCTGGAGAGCTCTGGTGTAGGTGTTTTAAACAGCAGAAGATGGAGTTTTTAAACCTGTGTTTATAAATATTTATTCAGGGAATCAAATAAAAATAGACTAAAGAACTAAAGGAAAATGTTGCCTTAATATTTGAGCTGAGCAGAGAAAAGAAATTTCACTCAGGTGGAATTTCACTGGATTGGTTGTAACATCAGATTGGAGAGGGAAGATGGAGTCTGTATGCTTGAAAGGAGATGAAGAGAAACTGAGGAACAGGGAGACACAATTAAAGAAAAGTTAATAGAAGAACCTTAAGTATCTATGGTACAATGTTAACCTACTTTGAATTGGAATCCAAGATGGAGTGAGAAGAGGGCAGAAAACCTGTTTGAGGAAATAAGAGTCAAGAACTGCTCTGACTGATGTAAAATGCTACCTTATAGATCCCAGAAGTTCAGTGAATCCAAAGCAGGAGGAGTATAAAAAAAAAAATTACACCTAAGTTGGCAATAGTCAAAGTGCTGAAATCCAAAGATTAAGACAAAATCTTGAAAGTCATCAGAGGAAAACGTGTTACATACAAGACAACATCATATGAATGATGAATGACTTACATGAAGACACTATGGAGACCAGAAGGCGATAGGAAGACATATTTAAAGTCCTAATAGAGAGACGCCTGGGTGGCTCAGTGGTTGAGCATCTGCCTTCTGCTCAGGGCGTGATCCTGGGGCTCCGGGATCAAGTCCCACATCGGGCTCCCTGCATGGAGCCTGCTTCTCCCTCTGCCTGTCTCTGCCCCTCTCTC